AAACTTGGTAGTCACGCCCACAAATGTGAAGATATACACAACAATACAATCGTTTGCTGAATTCAAAAGAAAAATGATCCTACAAGTCCACTCCATAGACAGCAAAAATGATACAATCGCCTCACCATTTAGGCAGAAACCTGAACCTGAATCTGTTTGAAACTGTGATTTCTTCCATCTATGGAGTTGATAAATAGACAGATCGTTTAAACAGTCGCTTATAGGCTGTTGCTGTTGTTTTTGTTCAATTATCGATTTTGTTGCATGTCACGTGACAGTTACATACCAGCATTGCATCAGACATTGTACTTTGTGTCAGGTGCATGTACATTGTGTCAGCCATTTTTCTATCGCTTCCCCGATTGGCCAGGAACATGAAATACATTTCTATTAACCATATTTAGTAAAGATATATTATTTCCCTAATTTTAACCTTTGCCCTTAGTTATTCATATATATATCGAGTAGCATAGTTTTAAGAGACACTCGGCGAAAACTGTAGACGAATGAAGTTGTTCTCAAAATAATTTGCTGTTTTAGACGAGATGTGTCTTTATTTTTCTGCTCGAGGTCAGAAGTTAATTCTACTTATTATTTAGAATTCATGCCTTTATGTTAGTTCAAACTAGTGATTAAACATTTGGTTACCCTGTGCGAGGAAGACAATTGAACGAGAAAACTTTTTAAATGCAATAACTTTTTCAGTATTCAAGACATCTTAGCAGGTTAGAAATTATTTTTAGTCGTTTAATGATCAGTATTCACGTTTTATCAAAGATCAAAGCCGTTTTTCTTCAAGTAGAGAGAATTGAGAGTGAACTTTTTATACTTGCCTTACAACGAGTAAATTCAGTTTATTATGCTTGCAAAGAGTGAACTTTGTTTGTTGTGTTGCATCAAAGTTTGTTTGAACAACCCCCATTTAATGGCCTCCCAAACGAAGATGTAAACAAGTGGCTGGGAGAATTCAATAGACTTTCAAAATTTTACAGTTCGTCAAATGTTGGAGCCCAAAATTTGTACTTTGGCAAGGAATAAACGAGCCTTTATCAGTCTACACAGAGGATATAATAAGAAAATGCCAACGTCTTTCTTTTTCGGACATGGAGATGATGAACTTATTTATCAATGGTCTAAAAAACGAAATTAAAAGTCATGTCATTTTGAACCAGCCTAAAACGTTTGTAGAGGCTGATAATTTAGCCAGGCTCCAATCAGCAGTCTCCTCCA